CTGAATAAGTCAATTCTTTTTTAATCAAGGTGGGATAGCCAGTTAAAATGCATAAGAAGGCTCATATTTTGGAATTACACCAAGTAATTTTTCAGGAATATTGATGATATGGTAGAAGTCCCTGGATATAAATTTAAATCAAAAAGTACAATATAAAGCTCCAAGTAACACTAATCTCATTTTAAACACACACACACACACACACACACACACACACACTTGAATTTTTAAAAAACACATATCATATACTTACCACATAAGATATAATGTATATGCATATATTATCTCACATATTTTCATTTACTGTCTTAACGGTAATTCCTTCAAGATGGTGTAATTACAAATAATTGTCACTTTCTCCTTTATACATTTATATAGCTGGTAAATTTTATTAATGAACAAATATTTATTTGTATTCATAAAGTTTAGTTTAAAAACCAAGACAAATGAAATGCAAAACAAAATAAAAATTAAGCTAAATGAAAAACAATACAAATTTTTGAAATCAATAATAGAGTAAAAAGTAAGTGGAATATAAAATTATAAGAATATTCTAATAGAATATTAAAAGCTGTTAGAGAAAAGAAACAAATTGCTTATAAAGGAAAATTCATCAGAATTACAACAGACTTCTCAACACAAACTATCAAGTTAAGAAGAAGAGCATGAAGTGAAGTGTTTCAATCCTGAAAGTAAACAACTTCCAGCCCAGACTGATGTATCCTGAAAAACTATCTTTCAAAACTGATGGGAGACATAAGATACTTCTATGATAAAGAACAATGAAGAAATTCATGACCACCAAACCAACTCTTCAAAGAGCACTGAAGGATATTCTAGAGACAAATAAAAATGACCATGGTGCCAGGAAAAGCAGCAAAGAGGGATCACCAAGTGGGGCAGATAACTAAATGGAGGGGAAAAGTAGGGAGCCAACAACAGGAAAAAAGCATGGCAGAGATGAACCAGTGCATGTTGGCATAACCATTAATGTAGATGGTCTCAACTCACCAATAAAAAGAAACACAGGAAGAGCAGAGCTAGAAGCAAGATCCATCAATATATTTTATACAAGAAACACATTAAAACAAAAAGAAATTCATAGGTTGAAAGTCAAAGGAGAGAAAACAATGCTCCATGTGACAGGGAACCAATAGAAAACAGGGATAGCTTGCCCAAAAACTGCATAATGAATAAGAAAGACATGGCATTTTTATATGATGGAAAGTTACTCAGCTATAAAGATGGATAATCATGAGGCTCTTGTAGGTAAGTGAATGCAACTTATGATCATGCTCTTGGGTAAAATGGTTTGGACTCACATAGGTGAACCTCATGTTGTCTCCTTAGTATAAAAAACTGAAGGAGTTAGTGAGATCCAAAATGTACAATAGATACTGTGAAAGTGAAAGGGGAGGAACCATCTAAAATGGGAAGATGGTAGGCATTGTTAATTCCCTATTTTTTTTTTTGTTTTAAAATCCTGTATTATTTTGTTTTGATTGGTCTAACTCTGTTTTGTTTGGTTTGATTTTATTATATCTGATGGCATGGGCAGCTATTTTGAAAACAACAAGATATATTATGGTAGCCATTGTTGATTTCTTATTATCTTGTTTTAAAGTCTGTATCTCTTTCACTGGGGTTTTTTGTTGGTTTGGTTCATTGGCTGGTTTGGTTTGGTACTGGGGATTGAACTCTCAACCTTGTGTTTGCCAGGCAGGTGCTTATGCCACTGAGCTAAATCCCTAGCCTTTCACTGTTTTGTTTTGATTGGTTTTATTCTGTTTCATTTTGTTTGTTTTTATTCTCTTAAAAATAAAAAAAATAAAAATATGAGAAGCCACAGTGAAAAAATTAAAACACAAAAACCACTAGAAACAAAAAGGTAGAAAAAATAAAAATTCAATACTTAATAGTAAAATTTCATGAATATAAAATAGAAATACTATTTAACATGTGGGTATAACAATGTATGGTGAAATAAAGAAAGGTGAAAACAGGAAGACTAAAGATTTTATATATGGGAGAGTAAGTGAAGAAAAAATAGCCAAACACACACACACACACACACACACACACACACACACACACACACACACACAGACACTGTACCAACAAGAAATTATCACATAAAGAGCCAGGAGGCTAAGCTATTCAACAGTGTGACTTTAAAAAGACAAGAAAAATTAAGTGGAAGGGGGGTGATAAAGTAAAAAACCCAACAGGTGTCCAACCAATAGCTCTGCTTCTTAGTAAACTTGTCTAGCTGAAAAAACCTTCCTGGGAAAAGCCTCCTCTGGATCTATCATTCTCTTCATTGATCCAAACCCTAGAGAAGGGACCTGAAAACACCCTTTCTCCTATTTTGGACACAGCTGTGGTAGCTGTCTGCAACTTTCAGAAACTTCAGGACCTCTGGATATTCTACCAGTGGAATCTTCTGGCCTCTGACATGCTAGAGATAAAGAAATACACTTCCTTGAGAACTTACAACTTTCCTTTATTTCATTCACCTACTTGCTAAACACTTATGGCCTATTGTCTCCTGCTTTGCCACTTCTTTAGAGTGGCCTTTCCTGTCCAGTCAAGCTAAGGAACTTTCCCTATATCCCTTTCTGTCTTGTAATACTCTTTTCTTGTCCTTCAGAGAGTCCTCATAGTCTGTAATTCATATGCCTCCACTCCTGCTATTTCTCAATGATTATAAGCTTTATAGGAACAAAGATAGTGCTATTTTGTTCATTGTCAGAAAACAGTGTTGGCACTTAGTAGGCACCCAACTGTCAGATGGATGGATGAAAGGATGATTTAGTACATATATGTATGGATATATGAATATGCCGAATCCTAAAGTTTGTGTATTTTTTTATCTTTGTAACTAGTACTTACCATAGTACTTGGTGTACAGTGAGTGTGATGTCATAAATTTATTGGCTGGGTCCTAGACACTGGTTGTATAAAATGAGTAGAATACAGTTGGCCTTACAGAGTCAAGTTTTAGAGAAAGAAGCATAAACCAACATTTACAGGATGATGAGTTATGTGGTGTGTTAGAAATACTTACTGAGTGCTGTGAAAAAATGTTGAGACTATGCTGAACTCCTTGTGGAGTGCAAAGAAGCGTATTAAAGGAAGCTGTTCTAAGGCTGAGTCTCCAAGGATGTCCAACAGTTTTCTGAATGAAGAATAAAGGAAATGCATTCCAGAAGATGCTATGTAAAGGCAGAGGATTGTTTAAGGGATCAGGAGTCATGCAATGTGGCTGGGAAACATAAGATGCTATAGACTAGCAATAGGGAGGCCAGTACTAAAAGGTTTTATAGCTTCACCTTGTAAGAGATAAGATTTGGGACATGTGTGAGGATGACACGATCAGATTCGCATTTTAAAAAGGTCACTCGCCAAGGCACAGCTAATAGGTTGGAAGGACAAGAATATAGACACCAGTTAGAACATGTATAAGAAACGATGAGGGCTGGAGGATGGCGGGGCCTGTAGAAATAGAGATGAAATAAGCCCAGAGACTACTAACAGGTAGACTAATCAGGTCTAATAGAACATAGAGATTGATGGCGAGGGATTTTCAGTCAGTAGTATTCATAGGTTTCCAATTTGAGCACCGAGATGAACTGCGGAGCTATTAGCCAAAAATTGGGAGGGGAAATAAAGAGGAAAATATTTGTGGGTATGTTGCCTTTTATCTTTCCCAGTCTACAAGGATGCAGTCATTGAAAATGTAAGTCTGCAACTTGTGACAGGAGTCAGAGAAAGGTTATGTTTTAGCAACGGTCAACGGTCAGATAATAGCTACAGGTACCTGATGAACAGAGAAGTGGGTGAGGAGAAGGGAAATGAGAGTGAAACTCTTTGGATCAGTGATTTTCAATATCAAATTATGGTTTATTTGGTACAGGTTTTTTCTTCTGACTTAATAACATACTTGCTCTGATTATTCTATAATTTATGTATATGTACTATTGGTACTATTTCTGTGTCTAGTAGCTCAAAGCTAACATTTTAATTTAAAAAAATTTTTTTGGTACCGGGGATCAAACTCACAACCTAGCACTTGCCAGGCAGGTGCTTATGCCACTGAGCTAAATCCTCAGCTTAAATTTTTTAAGTTATTTGTATAATTAGAACTTAACATACTGCACAAATCATGATTATGGTATACCTTTGGTTTTAATTTTTAAAAATAACATATAGACAAGGACAAATCTTGAAATAACTTTCTCCTTACCTTCTCCTGCCTCTGCTTGTACTGTTGTTTCTTTATTACTCAAATATTATTACAACTGTGCCCTACTTTAAGAGAGACAAAGTCACCTGGCTAGTTGCCATTTCAAAGTTCTTAAAGAGCTGCTGGAACAAAAACCCATAAAACTGAGCAAGTTAATGGTTATTAGCATATTCATAAACTGAGACATAAGGTCAAATTCCTTATTTTCATTCCAAAAGAGTCACCTACTTATGCCGTTGATCATGCCTTTTGTTCTTTAACCAATAAATTGCGTGACTTACATAAATTCTCTGAGGCATTCATACTTTTAAAAACTAAGAACATCCAGAAGAAAAAAATTCTTTTTCTTTTCACAGTTAAATGTTTGTGTTAAATTAAGATATTGCAAAGGATTAGGCAATTCCATAGACAACTTCAAAAGAACAATCTGTTGTCCTTTAACAACCCCAAACTTCAGGAGCAAAGCCTCTTTCCACTCATTGACACTTGTAATAAAAATTGTGACAGTGTCATTTTGAAGTTAATTTTCTTGCTAATGTAATAGCATTAAGATATTTCAATTGTCATTGTCTTTTATTCTGAGAATTTTTTAAAAAGCATGCAGATAGGGTACATTTGCTTAGCAGGCTATTCATCAAGAAGTACAAGACATTATAGTGTTAGTTTGGAAAAAAAATTATGAGAAAATCCACAAAACATTTTTTAAAAAGTCATTGAGGGGCTGGGGATTTAGCTCAGCGGCGTAAGTGCCTACCTTGCAAGCAGGCATTCGTGAGTTCCATCCCTTGTACTGATAAAAAGGAAAAGAAAAAAGAAAAAAAAGTCATTGAACATCAACCTGACAGAAGCACAAAAATAAGAAAGCAGGGATGTTTTGTATATATAAGTGGCACCTCCTAAATCGGTAAAGAAGTAGCCACTTAAATGATTTGAGCCACTCATCTATGCCTCACTAGAAAAAAAGGTGATGGGAATCAGACTGTGCTTTCTGTACTGTTTTATTCTTTGAATCCTTAGCAACCTTAGATAAGTCATCGAGGGTTGGGTGGAATTCTCTTTTTGTTTCTGGCAAAGCCTAGATTTTTTTTCTTGCCTTTCTAAGACAGGGTTTTACCTTGCAGTTCAGGCTGGCCTTGAACTCACTCTGTAGCCCAGGCTGGCCTCAAACTCACAGTGATCCTCCTGCCTCAGTCGCCCAAGTGCTAGGACTACAGGTGTGTGCCACCACACCTGGCACTAAACTTTAAAAAGATCCTTTCTAATATGACCTTTCTCTCCCTATCATTTTATGCTATATTACCCTCAATAAGACAGAACTTTTTCCCTTACAAATTATCAGGACACAGTTGTAGCAGTTTTGACTCCCAGACACATTCCATGTCACACCAAGGAGATTCTTGTCTCTGCTTTTGGCACATGTTTCTCTTGTCTCCATTTCTCTTGCTATGTCCCAGCAAGTGCTGGGACAACTTGATTCCCAGTCATTGCTTAGGGGCTCCTTGATTTCAGAGTCCTTGTACAGCCTTTCCCTATCTCGTCCCCAACCGCAAAGCCAAATCCAATGAAATAATCTATATAGAGTGCTTTCAACACTGCTGCAGTATAAGTTTATATGAGCATTGACTGCCATCAAATCACAGTATCTAAAGTACTTTTTACAAATTTTCACTATATATCTCTTTCATCTTATTGCTTAGACTTTTCCCTCAATTTTTTACTGGAAATTCACCTTCTCAATGAGACCTTCCCAGATTATCTACCCAAAATTTCAAAATAAACTCCCCTTTAAAAATCTCTTTCTAATTTCTTAAATCCTCAGCACTTTCCACCATATAAATTTACCTTCAATATTTGGTTTACCAGATGTCACCCATAGAATATAAGCTCCATGAGCACAGTTTATAAATTGCTGGATGAATGAATATGTTTACCTATGGTCTCCCCTGCTGAGATTCTATATCCCCACAGAATCTGACATAGTGTCTGGCACAGAAAGGCCTGAAATCTTGAGGCTATTCCACAGTAAAGCACCTCAAATCAGGAAGCCTCAGTGAGCAATGCCCAGATGGTTACATCAAGAGTGTATTAGAATTAGTGGAAAAAACCCTGAACTGGGAGATGACTATATCCTTTTTTTGACTATGGATTCAATTCATGTTCCAGATGGGACATCTGAGCCCCTGCAGGCAACCCCAGCAACGGTCAGCTATAGCACCCAACTGTACCCCAGGAACTGCAGCAGCACCTGAGTCACAGAGCCCAGGTTTTATTCAGAAAGCAAAGAAGGCAAAAAGTCAAGGAATACCCATTTAAAAACAAAAATCACTTTTGACATACAAACAGGAAAATAAGATTTCCAGTAACAGAGTGATGATGACATCTGAAGACCAGGTCCAAGAAGGGATAAAACTGAAACTTAAAACAAACAAACAAAAAAATGCTTATTGAAGAAATGCGGCAGATAATTGTAGCTACAATAACAATGAAGAATCAAGAAAAAAGTAATTTTGATGAAAATACTGAAGATGCTTATGGAACCAAAGAACAAATCCAGGAAATCAATGTTGAAGATACAGGTGTTAATCTAGAACCAGGAAACCCAAAAATGGGGAATAAACATAGTAAAAATATGATTTTTCAAGATTGTGAAAAACAGAAGATGACAAAACATCTAGCTGACAGTTTTAACCCCGTTACAGAAAATAGATCAATTTGCCTAAGTAAATATATCTATATATGCCATTCTTACAAAGTATAAAAATGAAGATGCAACTTGATGAAACAAATTCTGTATTTAAACAGCTAAAGTTTCTAACATTGAGACATCCTCAATATTTTTGAGAAAAGACTTCTAAATTGTCAGATATGTTAAAAGACCATCATGCTTGTGTGTCTTTTCTGGAACAGTTACCAGAGTTAGGAGATGAAACTGATGCTTTTGTATGCCACTGTAATATAGCACTGTGTCCTGTATATTCTGAGACTGATACCTCAGAGGAGAAATAAAGTTCAGGAAGGAGTGAGGGCTTTTATTATTCCTGGGGTGTTCTGTTTCCCTATTTGTATCCCTGGTGTGTTAGGCTCCCTATTTCCCTTGAATCTGGAGTTCGCCAGGTACCTAAGTATTCATGGAAATAAGATCCTATATTGACATTCACATCACAGAAGTCTTCTATGTGTGGAAAGCTAAGGCTACCAGGTCAATCTCAACATATTGACTGTTTCTTTAAAATAAGTAGATTTTATCAGGCTGTTTACGTTTCTTGATTATAGTACCTAAGGAAGATTCTGAGTCTTAGGTACATTGTCCAAATTTAACAATAATGGAGCATTTATAAAGATTATTGTTACAGGGCTACGGGTACAGACCAATGGTAAAGTGCTTGGTCAATGTGTGTGAAGCCTTAATAGTTGGTGAGATCCCTAGCACCACATATACACACTTATGAAAAAGACAAAAGAGATTATTTATACATAATATTTAGCAAAGAAAGATAATGCTGACATATATGCTATTTGCTTCCAAGGGATAAATTTAAGGATAGATGAAAACCCTTATATTACAATATTATATGATGGCTATAATTTATAAAAAGTGCAGGACCATTTTTATCATTATACCAAAATAGTTTTTGTGTACTGAAATCATTTCAAAGACATAATGTAAAAATGTCTTAGGGAGATAATACAGGATGATTTTTAACAGGGAATCATCATTTTTAATGACCTTGTAACAATGTTTTCTCATTCAATTTTTATCAAAAGATTTCAGGGAGCCTGGGAAAATGTCACAAAATAGCTGCCAAGCAGGATTATGGAGAGAGACAAATTTATTAATTGGAATAAAGAAACATACTTGGAACTTGGAATTCAAATTCCATGTTCATTTACAAGGTATCTGCTGTGTTCTCCTCATGTTGGGTACATTCCTAGCCAAGAATGTTAGGTCCTAAATAATTCTGTCCTAAATGATACAGAAACTGAACAAAATAAGCCAACAGCTACACCAGACCAAATGTCCTATCATAATGATCAGAAAGAATTTTTAGATTACATCGCACTTACTGGCTGCATGACTTCAAGTAAGTAATTTAACCCTCCTAATATTCCACTACATCCTGTTAAATGAGTATAACATTGCTTCACCTAGTTAGCATTGCTCTAGTAGTTATTAGTGTCTTGTAAAGTACTAAGTGAAAATATTTAATAAAGTATGAATGCTATACAAATAGCATGTATAGTTTTTGTTCTTTTGAGGTGTTGGTAGCTAATTTTTGGCTCAAAAAATGACCTCTTTGCTCTATTTCCTTTGACTAATTTTCAATTAGCTAAATTAAATGTGTTACCCACTGAAGTTATTCTTTACACCTTGCCTCTGCTCAGCTCTTTATTGAACTACTAGAACTGAATTACTTCCATGGCTTCTGTTTGACTCGGTATTTAATTGAAGGCCTGCCCTGAACCTGCCACATAAGAACTGTGAGTGTAAACTAAGGGTTCACTCCCCTGTCCACTGTAATTTCTGTAAGTACTAGGCAGGATTTGAGGGTAGAGCACAAAGTGGCATGGAATTTCACTTGTCTTTCAAAGAACTAAAGCAATTTCTTATCTTCAAGAAAACTTACCTGAAAGGATTTCCCATTTCTCCTCATGCAATAACATAAAAACTATTATTCTTTCTGTCTCTCACTTCAGCCCAGGGCTAAATGTACTTATAAACTAAAACTAGAAAGCTTTTTTTGCTGGCAAAAGACAAACAAGAAACCAGAGCTCATGGCTAATGTTACAAGGTCTGTGAGCTAGTTGTCTCTCCATAAAAGCAGCAACTAAGAGGTAGTGAATTTACCGCGTGCAGAGATTTTATGTTTATTAATTTACTCTTTACCACTAGTATCAACCTCCTTTTAGAGATAAGGAAAGTACAGGTGGCTCCTGACTTACAATGATTCAACTTACGATTTTTCAACTTTATGATAACATGAAAAGCATGTGCATTTATTAGAAATTCAATTTGAGAGTTTGAATTTTCCATGAGCTAGTGATATTACATATGTTCTTCTCTCATGGTGCCAGAGAGTGACATTGAGCTGCAGAGGTCATGAGGGCAAACACTGGATACTCTACAGTGAGTTGTGCTGTTCAGGTATGATGTTCTGTAGGACACATTAAATGCATTTTTGACCCACAGTATTTTCAACATACAGTGAGTTTATTGGAACTTAACTTCATCCTAAATCCAGGAGCACCCATAATTTACATATGGTCAAACAGCTAGTACTTGGCTGAAATTCAAACTCAGGCCATCTGGCTCCAGAGACTATAGCCTTAACTCAATGCTAATAATAATAGAAACTGTATAATTATTTGCTGTTGCATAACAAATTACCCCCAAACTTAATGGACTGAAACAAAAACATCAGTTTCTTTGGCCCAGAAATTGGGGCCAAATTTAGGTAGGTCCTCTGTGTTAGGGTCTTTTACATGCCACAGGAAAAAAAAAAAGTTAAGTGTCCCCTGGAGCATAATCTTTTTGAGGTTCAATTGAGCAAGTATCACTTCTAAGCTCTTTTGTATGGGTATTGATAAGATGTATTTCCTTGTGGGCTATCAAAAAGAAATCACCCTTGTTTCTTTGACTTGTGGTTCTCTCTACCATAGAAGCTTGAAAAGTGTGCAAGTTAAAAAGGGAAGAGATTTTAACAAAATTGGAAATCACAATCTATTGACAGCCCATCACTTTTGCCAAGTCTATCATCAGAGTCAGTCATTTAGTCCAGCCTGTGTAAAAATTGGAGGAGATTTCATAAGAACAAAAATACCAGAAAGTCAGGATCATTAGAAATTGTGCCAGAAGCTTTGTGTAAGTATAATAAATAGCTAACATTTATTAAAGGCTTACTATGTACTAGGCATGGCCCAAATAGTTTTCAAATATTTTATATATATGATTCATTTAATCTTCACAACAAACTCCATTTGAAAGATGAATTAATAAAAAGGAATGCCATGAGTACACTCAAGGGAAGAGAAATGAAGGATACCACTTTCCAGAATTCCAACAGGAAAAATAATAGAATGCTTCGAAATGATTGTCACAAAATGAACCTATCCCACCTATATCTCCTTTAAGAAATTTTCTCTTTAGACACAGAATGGCTTTCTTTTTTTGTTTTTTGTTTTTAGCTAATTGCAGACAGTTGTATCCTTCAGTAACTCCTCTCAGGCTGTACCATTCCTAGGAATAGGAAAAAGAATTACCCTTACAAAGGCAAAACAAAACCAAATGTTTTAGTGGTCCTGGGAATCCAACCCAGAACCTCTTCAACTCTGGATAAGTGCTTAACTCCTTGAGCTATACCCTTTTCTCAAAATATTTCTCATGCACATAGCAATTTATAAAATTGCATATATCTTCACCTTAATTAAGCTTTAAAATTGAAATATTAATAAAAGTCACCTTAAGTTTTCTATATAAAATTTACCCAGCACACAAGATATTGAACCGAATTCTAGTGTTAATTTAATTCTAATTTGATTATTTACTGCTTTTCTTCAAAAAGTAGCTGAGAGAGCTCTCACTTGACCAACCTTCGAGAAAGGTAAGAGAGAATAACTGCTTCCTCTGAATTGAGTCCGGCACTTTGGAATTGGATGGAGGGGTACTGACCTGCCGATGAGGCTCTCTCTAGCCCTGCTCTCCAAATCAGAGGCCTGGGAAGAGGCAGGATCTTTCCAGCACAGGAGGGGCTGGAAATCCTTTTTCCTATTTTTAATAAGAACCACAGCAGTTACTTATTACAAGAGCTATGTGGAAGACATCCCAGATTCCTAGGCTGCCGAGTGTGTGTCTATTTTCAAGCCTCTGATATTTGCAATGACACATCCTTTAAACATCTAGAAGCCAGTTCCTGGTCAAGTTAAAAATATCAACAAATGATGATAGATCTGAAATCTTAAATAAAATATAAATAAATTGAGCTCAGTAGTAAATTACTAAGAGATTAATTTACCAAGAAAGGCTAATTCAGGCATGCAATGAGGATTACCTCTTAACATATGATTTATCACACTCCCAGATCAAACAATAATGTCATCTCAACAGAAACCAAAAAAAGCATTTGCCATATTGGCAACTATTCATGATTTTAAAATCTCAGTAAACTAGGAATAGTAGAAACCTACTTCATCATGACAAAGAATAAACACAAGTATATTCAACAATGAAACAGGAGAATTCCCAATAAAGACAGAATATGAGACGGATGTTTTTTGTTGCAGAATTTTAAAATGCAGAAATAAAAACAACCTAGATGTTCAGCCATCAACTAGTAAGTTTATGACACATTCATAATATGGAATATTATGAGGTAATTATAGTCATGTCATACATGAGTATTTACTTATATAAGCATATATGAGGTATAGCTATACATCTGAATAGATAATAAATGTTTATAAATACAAAATGTGTGCAAATGGAATTATGCACTGAAAATGTTCTGTAAAAAAATACATCAACCTTCTAAGAGTAGTTCCTTGAGAAGAATGAAAGTAGCAGAACTAAAGAAAGATTACAATGAAAGATCCTGTGTAAAAAACACATAAATCTGTGCTATTCAAATATTTTTAGAACACTGGAAATATATATGCTTTATTTACCCTAGATGTTTTTAAAAGTCCAAGAAGATTGTCAGTAAAAAAAATAATAATAATATTTCTGGGCTGGGGATTTAGCTCAGTGGCATAAGGGCTTGCCTGGCAAGTGAAGCCATGAGTTTGAAACTTGTACAGAAAGAAAAAGAAAGAAAGAAAGAAAGAAAGAAAGAAAGAAAGAAAGAAAGAAAGAAAGAAAGAAAGAAAGAAAGGAAGAAAGAAAGAAAGAAAGAAAGAAGACAAAACAAGACAAGACAAGACAAATGATATTTCTTAGCCAGGCATGGTGGTGCATGCCTATAGTCACAGCATGCAGGAAGTTAAAACCAGGAGGATCATTGAAAGTTTAAGATCAGCCTGGCTACAAAGTGAGCTCAAGGCCAACCTGAACTGTATAGCGAGAACCTGTCTCACACACACACACACACACACACACACACACACACACACACACAATGTTTCTAATTGAAAAACAATAGTGTATGATACAATACATATTTATAAATCAAAATTATCCAAAGGATATACTTTAATGATTGAATTGCAGATAACTTTTTCCTTACCTGTGTTTCAAGTTCTCTATTAATCAACTACAATAATCTTTTTTTTTTTTTTTTCTGTCTTTTTCCTTTTTATCGGTACCAGGGATCGAACTCATGACTGCCTACTTGCAGGGCAGGCACTTATGCCGCTGAGCTAAACCTCCAGCCCAACTACAATAATCTTTATAGATTACACTAAACAACAATTGCAGGGTTTATAGAAAAAAACCTGTTTATCTCTTAATCTGTCTTCTAAAATGGTCGTGATCCCTCCTCTGTTTCTATCTTAAACTATTGGGAAAACCAAATGCTTGCATTTTATTGCAAAGTCAGCTCCCTATTCTCGGCTTGCTTAATTTGGTCATTTCTCTGAGGCATAAGATCTTGGAATCATTCTTCATTCCTTTTCTCTGTTTATGGAGTCACTGACTAACTTCTCTAGAGGATCTTTCCTTCATCTTCCACACATCTTTTTTTTCTATTGCTATCCATATCTCCTGGTCCAGACTTCATCAGCTCACAGCTAAATCATTGAGCTATATCCTTGAGTACCCCTGCCTGCCTATTTACACATCTCCTTGTCTTTACCTCAGTCTCCCATTACCTACATATCATCTTCTATGGCATCCACTGTTTTTCTCTAACCTGCTGTGCTTGTACTTCTATGTCTAGTGTCTTGACATTGCTCCTTGTAGTAATGTCAGAATCCTACTCTTCCCTCCCAGTTAACCTCCACTCATCATGTACTCTATTCTTTCATACCTTTGGATATCCAATTGTTTGTTCAATACATCTTTCTTAGCCATAGATTGTACACTAGACCCTAGACTAGACATAGAGTGCTAAATTATTTTTTCCAGTTAGTGGCTGATCTACAATTAAAGGATTATAAATGAAGTTCACGGCATTATCTGGCTCAACAGGATTTTATTATATCCTCCAATAAGCACAAGTTTTTTGAGAATCCTTCTGCTTCTCTCTGACTCTAGACAAAACTTGCTTGTATTCAATTAATGTATGCTTTATATGTGTAGGCTTTATACTACATGCTAGGAATACAGAAGTAAATAAAATATGCTTCTTACTCATAAGGAGCTCAAAAAGTTTACTGGGGAAGGAAGACAGAAAAATAAATACAACAGTAATAAGTTCTCTGATGGAGATGTACAGGAAAGCAAAAGAGAATGTGTTTAATTCTACTTGGGAAGAGCAAGGAAGGCTTCATGAGTGAGGTAATGCTTAAGAGGACAGCAGCTAGAATATGTGAGGACTATTCCAAACAACAAGAATAGTACTGCAAAGGCACAAGGCATTAAATAGCACAGCTTGTCAAGAAGCCACGTTGGAGAATTGGTCTGGGAATCTTTTTATGCCTTGTTTTGTGTTTGAGGGAATGAGTAAACACTGGAGACTTTTAAGAAATGAAGTAATATGATTAGATTGTGTTTTGAGAAGTACTTCTGGTGGCCACATTGGAGAGCTAGGGAGATGCAAGTGATGATGCATAACTTAAGCAAAAAGTAACAGTCAGAATGCTCTCAGTAAAATTGAGAGAAGTAAAGATAATCAACCAGGCAAGTAACAAAGTAAAGAGCTGGTGGTGGGACAGAGAGAAGGAAATACTATAGAAAGATGTCAAAGAGGTAAAAATCAATAAGACTTATCTTCCTTAGGATTTTAGAGGATGAGTAAGCAAAACATTGAGTAATGATCCCTAAGTATAAATTTATATGCATATAGCTATAGATGTATCATGGCAAGAATTACTTTTGGGAGCTGACTGTTATGTTTCATGTTTAGATGTCCCCCCAAAGCCTCATGCAGTCATAGGTGGTAGGCTTTTCAGAGGTGGCTGAATCTAGAGTTTGTGATTGATTCACTGTCCAATGCTGCAAGTAAGGGTGCCTACCCTATGGCAAGTAGCCTGCATACAATATAAGGAACAGAAAGAATCTTGTCTCTCTCTCGTTGCTTTTGGTGTCTTTCACCACCATGAATGGTTGCCTCTCTACCATGTGCCACCTTGCCTTGGAGTTAGCTGATTATGGCCTACAACCTCTACAATTGTGAAATAAATAAATCTTTTCTCCCTTAACTTTGGGTGCCTGTATTTTGTTTCATCAATGAGAAAAGTAACTAATACACTGAGGTACCACCATATACAGAGTCCACCAAAAATGTACATACACTTCAGAAGAAAAACCTGTTTACATATTTTACAGAGAGATTTTTTTTTTCCGGTACCAGGGATCAAACTCACGACCTCACGCTTGCAAGGCAGGCGTTTATGCCGCTGAGCTAAATCCCCAGCCCCTGTTTAAATATTTTAATACTAAATTTATTGAGACATTGTGAGATTGATACATTACCTTTGACCTCTACAATTATAAGAGGTGTTCAAAGTGGTGTCCATCAGCTTCCAGATATTTATTAGTATGATGAACTACTGCTTGGGTAATCTGTCATTGAGGTTGGTACACATGCATTTTTAATTTCTTCTTTCAGGGCCAGCAATATAGTGAGTTTACTGCAAAATATAGTATCTTCTAGGGTCCCCCATACTACAGTAGCACCATCTGTTGAAAAAAATATCCATACTATCTTTTCCTGAAGTGTGTATGCAATTTTTGGTGGGTTCAGTATATCACTGTACCTCGGTTCATGAATTTAATTCTGTGTTTTGTTGTGCCTCGGTCCATGAATTTAATTCTTTCAAAATTAAAAAATGAATTTTGTTCACAAACTGAATTGGATGAGAAGTGAATCAAATTTCTCCATGAGGTAACATTGAACCTAACTACTGATTTTGATTTGGTTTTTGTTTGGTATGGTGTGCCTAAGGAGAAGGTTATATGCTAAATGTGAGTTGCCTATTAGGCACTGAAACAAAGTGTTTCAGGCTGTCAGAAATAGCACACATCCCAAGTTCAGGATTTTGTATGAATTACAACCAGAGATCTGGGAGATGTGGTTTAGATAGTGATTAAGACTATGAGAATAGGTAAAGTTGCCCCAAAGACATAAATACAATGGGACACCAACCTTTATGGGGTCAAAAGAAGATGCCTAGAATAGTTAAGTGTGAGTTTTCAAGGAGTGTTACTTTAAAAATTACCAAAACTTGGTGGTTTAAAACAACACAAACCTGTTGTAGTCTGGTAGGTGTAGAAGGCCAGAGTGTACCCTACTTGTCTAAAGTGCAGGCATCGTGCAGCAACATTCCCTTCTGGAGACCCTAGGAGACAGGTGGTTTCCTCAGTTTTTCCAACATCTAAAAACCATCTTTCAGTCCTCAGCTTCTGGTCTCTCCCTCAGCCATCACAGCCTTCAACAGTGAACTATGCTTGGCTCACAGAACATCATTCCAACCTTGTTTTCTGTCTTCACTTTTCCTCCTCTGACTTTCTGTTCGGCATTTAAGGAAAATGCATTTTCTACATTTAAGGAACTCCGTGGTTTCCATAGGCTCCCATGGGCTCACCTGGATACTCTCCGTACCAGGTGATTAAAACCTCAGTTCCTCTTTACTCTGTAGCCTAACACATTCGCAGGATCCAGGTGTTTAGCAGAAGATGAGGGGTAGCATTATTCTACCTATGACAGTTGTCATCTTTGAAACCAATTCACCATACAAATGCAAACATTAACAGCTATAGAAGTAGATGATGAGTGAAAAATGGTGAAATGTTTATTAAGGACATTTTCAAGTTAATCTCTCTCTGTCTCTGTCTCTCTCTCTCTGTCCCTGCCTACTTGCCAGGGTTGTTATAGAATTAAATAAGCTAATATTTACAAAGCACATAAAACTGTATTTACAAAGCACCTGGCAATCAAGAGGTCCCGAGTTCAATTTCTGGTACAAACAAACCAACAAAAATCCTGTATCTGATTTATAATTATTTAAGAACAGAGAAATTAACTAAGGCAAAAACTTCTAACTGATCATTAGATTTATTAATTATGCAACTCGTGGTTTCCTTCTTCTTTTTCTTCTTCTTCTTCTTCTTCTTCTTCTTCTTCTTCTTCTTCTTCTTCTTCTTCTTCTTCTTCTTTTTCTTCTTCTCCTTTGAGACAAGGTCTTGTTAAGTAGTTCAGGCTGCCCTTAAACTCATTAATCCTAGACAGGTCTCAAACCGGAGGCTATCTTTCTGCCTCAGCCTTCCATGCACTAGAATTATAGACATGTACTGCTATGCCCAGCTTGTTTTTTTAACCACTGCAGTTTTAGGAATAGGGTGGTATGCACAGAAGTCTAATTACTGAAGGTAGAGAAAATTGGAAAACAGGAGAAAATACCATTATTTTGAAATAACTGTTTAAGAAGAGGAGGAAAAGGTAGCTAGAACCATCTTAGTAGAGGAAGAGGGCAAATTATGAGAGATATAAACACATTTACATGTGCTTGAAGGTGGGACTAATGGACTGAAAGTCTGAATAAATGAAAGAGGAAATAATTGACATAGTGAAATCCCACAGAATTAATCAATGCGATCAACAGCTCAGATGTCAGACTTAACTCTGAATACAAGAAGAAACAATTCTATGAGTTCACCAGGCAAGCTGTGAGGGTTAATCCTAGGAAGTAAGTCAATCTCTCCCTTGATTCCTGCTCATCAGTAGGAATTGCTCATGGGCCTCCACCTTGGCTATGTCATCAGCATTAGAGTTCTTATTCATTGTTCAACTTTAAGATGGCATACACTGTCATGGGAATTTTTTTTTTTTTTTTTTTTTTTTGCCTCAACAGGAAGTTTCTATTAAGCCATTGGGTGTTCAAATTTAGTATCAGCAAGCAAAAGTATAATTTCTTTCAGAGTGGTTAACATAAACAATACTTGTCCCTTTCAAAAGATTTCTACTACAGGGGCTGGATAATAGCTCAGTGGCATAAGTGCCTGCTTTGTAAGCAGGCAGTCATGAGTTCGATCCCTGGTACCGATAAAAAAGAAAAAGACCAAAAAAAAAAAAAAAAAAAGATTTCTACTACAAAGGTATGTATGTTACTTTGCTCTTACATCTTTTTTTTTTTCTATTTTTCTGATAGAAAAATCTAATTAGGTAAATGTCTGTGTTAACAGAACAGCCCTTCTTTATTTGCTCTAAACTTTTTTATGGACATTTTCAAGCAAACACAAAATTAAAAAAATATATATAAACTTCCAAGTACCCATTACTTCAATAATTACTAACCTATGGCTGATCCTGTTTCACTTGTATTCCTCTATCACTCCCAAATCTACTCTATTATTTTAAGGCAAATAGCCTTCTTTAAAAGAATGAAAAGAAACAGGATTTCCAAAGTGGGTGTGTCGGCACAGGTTTATAATCCCACCACCGTTGGAGGTTGAAGCAGGAGGATCACAAATTTTAGACCAGCCTGGGCAACCTACTGACTTAGTGAGACCCTGTTTCAAAATGTAAAATATTACTACTATTATGACAATAATAAAAATAATAATAATAATTGGGGATGTAGCTCAATCCAGGAAGTCCCTGGATTGAATTCCCAGTATCCCAAAGACAAAACAAACAAACAAACAAAAAACAACCACAGGATTTCTATAGTCTGAGGACATATCCTACTGACATAGTGATTATTTAGTCTAGTGAAGCCTTGGATTTAATCTCTAGTACTGCCCAAAGTAATAATAATACTTCTAAATTTAATGTTTATATACTTTGTTCATCTAATTCTCAGTGGTGTTACTCTATGCAAATACGAAATAGTACAGCATAAATATCAGTAAAATCTCAGATGCTAGTTTTTAAAACAATGAATTACATGATTCAAGAGCTAATAGACAAGTAAAGTGTAAATGTTTTTCATATTTTTGTCATCTGAATTACTTGACAGAAATTGCTGCTTATCCTTTATACATGGTATGAAAATTCCATTTCCACCCAAAATGTGTAATTGTCATTGTACAAAAGAGAGGAAAAGAAAGTGCTCTAAATGATATAACTGCATGTATATGTAAGTGTATAAGATAGATAATGATATTACTGAGTTTTATTGGATCATTGAACAGAACTATTTGCAGTCTCACTGTTGGAATGTCCACTTTATAAGCTTTAATTTTGTAACTAGAACAGTTATTTCTAAGATGATAAAATGTAATCCATTAACTAGTGATATCCTACTGTTTATTTTTTTCTGTAAATCTATATAACTGGTACCCTTTCTCTGCTTTTTTTTTTTTTCTCCTTAAATAAAATTAAAAAAAAAAAAGAAAATTCCATTTCCATGGTTTGGAATAGAAAAATTTGGTAATTATTTTGCTACTTACCATTTACCATTATTGTAATGTAAAATGGTCTGTTTTTTGTAGTACTGAGAATGCCTTCAGCATTCTAGGTGGCACCCTATTACTGAACTATATCCCCAACTATTTTTAATTTTTTTTGAGAGTCAAAGAAGCTACAGTTTAATCCAAAAACAGCGAACAGTCCTGCATGCAAAGTCTAACAGTAAATGGAAGTGGAAAGAGAATGTTTTATCATTTTTAACATATGGTGGATAATGCATTCTCTAGATGATCTACATTAGATATACTTTAGAAACAAAATTCACTTGTTACTGTGGCAAACCCAGTCTACATTTCTTAGGCTAATTTCTGTAAGAATTAATTTTTACATTGTTAATCATCATACTGCTATAATTAAATACCGATTTATATAGTATTACTCAAAAGATTTACAAATAGCAAGGTTTACTGTTGTTTAAAAAGGAGCTGCGTGAAACAAAGAAAGCAATAATGTTCCAAATAAATGATACTGGGCAAAATTCACGACCAGTGACACATTCAGACAGAGAATCAGGTGTCCATAGATTTCTCCTTTAAGAATCAAATGCTTGAGATCTTGAGAATACCATGCCTGCCTCTAAACTTTTAGCTTCCACATAGTGGCAGATGTCGTAATTCATATGAAGGATAAATGATTTTAGGCAAAATTTTAAAATCACCTACAAAGAAAACAACAATCTGTAGTGATTTTCTGCAGAAGGCTCTCTTCTCTAGTCGTGATAGCTTTTAGTACATATCCAGGATAGACTAAATTGAAAAGTGTTCCTGATATAGTAGCAATCCTTCATGTGCTCTTATGAAATACTACTAAATAAATAAATAAACAAATTTTCCTTGTACAATGCACCAGTTTGGGGCTGACTGATGTCATGGCTACTATTTTAAGAGTTAAACATTGCACCTCAAAAGTTCTGCCCTCTGTACACAGTCCATGGACATAATAGTGAAGGTTGCAAACTGCCTCACACGTGAAGAGCTTGTGATGGAGTGACTCCAAACTGGAGAAAAGGAGACTGTGACAGGGAAGTAGGCAAGGAAAAGGAATTTTAAAGTAATACTGCTTAGTAGTGTATATTTTAAAATAATTACTGTACCTTGTCTATCCTCGATCCTAATGTTGAATAACTGCAAGTTCATGCAAAATACATTTCTACTTCACAGGAAGAGGGGCAGTCTGTTAGGAAAGATGTATTATTAAAGGAAGATTTGAAGACTTCTCTCTTGTAAGTGCTGTTTTACCTGGTAAGTCTTTTTATGACATCACTGTTGGGTATTTTGACCTCCTTATCACTGGGACAGATATTGGTGAACTCCTTCCTACTACAAGCATTAGTTAAGTATCTCCAGATGCCAGTCATTCCTTTTGGAATATTGACGTTGCAATATTTCTCGGTCACCATCTTGACAATGTGCAGTCTGGAAACCAGGTTGCAATCAGCTAATGTTATTTCATTGCCATCCAGAAATTTATGCTTAGAAAATTTAATGTCTTCCATACTGTTCTCATCAATTTCATCAGGTAAGGGAGAATACAAATACTCAGCCAGTTTCTGCAGTATTTTCAAAAGACCTCTCTCTAGTGTTTCATTGGCCTCTGGCCTCACATTCTTGATATAACCAGAGAATTTGGCAAAGATATCAATGCCAACAGTATTTGACACTGGGTGTTTTGGTGAAGGCTTTAAGTACTTGGGAGCACATAACACTTCTTCAAGAAATTCCTCAATCTTACTGACATCCTTTCTGACTTTGTTGTTGAAGGTCATAAACAGTGGGTGGATCCCAGAAGCCAAGTTCTGGAGGTTTGTAGCCTTCCTTTTCAGGTCCATGGTTGAGACAATAAGCACAACTCCTTTGAGGCAAAGAATCATGAAGAGCATCTAGGAGAAAGGACAGTTCCCTATGTTTTCCCCATCCTGCCAGCCTTGAAAAAGAGTTCGATGAAGAGCTCTTTGTACTCCTCCATCAGCCCATTCACCAGCATCGACCACTCCAAGGCAGAATCAGCTGTGCTCCATGACTATTTTGTATTGTATTGTATTGTATTGTATTGTATTTTGTTCTGAGACAGGGTCTTGCTAAATTTCCCAGACTGGCCTCACGCTTGCAGTCCTCCTGCAGTCCTCCTGCAGTCCTCCTCAGCCTCCCAAGTAATTGGGGTTACAAATATGCACTGCACAAACCTACAATTTTTTTGAATAACCCAAGCAATGTTATATGATTCTGGTGCTTGGAAATTTATCCCTCTGTCAATATCTTCCAAATAGGAGTTAAATGTGAAAAACTTCTCTGAAGAAGGCCGAACTCCACTGCAGCCAGCACTGTTTATTTAAAAGAAGGTACACTGAAAAACACTAGAAATGATGCTGAGATACAAAGTGGATACATCTTTAACCTTTAAAAAGTGCTAAAGTATCTGAGCAGGATAATGGAAATCATTGATGACTCAGTTGTAAGATTGATATCACTAGACTATACTTACCAACTCTGAAAAACTATTCCATCCTCCATCAGCATTTATATTTATTTCTATTAGAATATTATCCTAGGTCTTCAAGCATATTATCACCTGCATAGACTTCAGCTATCCTGCTCTCAAAATTAATGCAGATATCTGAACATACATTATCACATAACATTATTTTTACAACATGTTCAGGATAATGAAAAGAAGGAAAAGGAAGAAGAAGTGAAGAAAAAGATAAAAAGGAAAACATTTTTAAATTTTTAAAACTGTAGAGTAACTTTGTCTTAGTTACTATCCTCATTGTTGAGACAAACATATCTGACATACAGCATTAAAGGAAGAAAAGTTTACTTTGGCTCATAGTTTGTAGAAGTTTCAATTGATAATCAGGTGGCTCCAAGGCAGGGTAGCATGTCAGAGAGGCATTGCAGAAGAAAAAACGTCCATGGTGTGACAAGCAGAAGACAATGAGCAAAGCAGCAGCTGCTGGTCTTCCTTTCCCTTTTATCTCATCTAGACTACTAGTCTTTCGGGTGATGCCACGCAAAACTATGCTAATTCTAATCAGTGGAGTAATTTAGTGCCACATACCCTTAATCATAGCATCACATACCTTAGATCTGGCTCAGAAAAACCCTACCTATGAGCTCATGAGGCTTTGGAGGGACATCTAGATACAAACGATAACAAGCTTGTACTAAACCCTCCGGTTGCTCACCTTCCTGCAATTAAGTGTATCCCTGTAACCAAGTTGTGGCCAAGGGGATGTAAGCAGAAGCAGAGGCAGTTTTCAGGCACCTTTCTATAAAGGGTAACTGATGTCTCTCAAAACAAATGATGAAATTTAGACCCTTACCCTATAACATATATAAAAATTAATTCAAAATGAATCAAAGACCTAATCATAATATAATAAAACTATAAAATTATTTTTATTTTGGGGGGTATCGGGGATTGAACTCATGACCTTGCACTTGTAAGGCAGGCACTAATGCCGCTGAGTTAAATCCTCAGCCCCAAAACTATACAATTCTTATAAGAAAAAAATAGGGCAAAATTTCAGGATATTGAATTTGCAAATGATTAGCTGAATATGACACAAAAGTATAGGCAATAAAAGAAAAAATAGGTAAATTTAGTTAAATCAAAATCAAAACCTTTCAAAGGATACTATCAAAAGAGTAGAAAGGGAACTTGTGGAATGGGAGAAAATATTACAAAGCATATATCTGAGAAGGAATTAATATCTAAACAATATAATGAACTCCTTATAATTCAACAGAAAAATCCAGTTGAAACATGAAGAGTTGAGCAGACATAGTTCCAAAGAAGATACAGAAATAGTGTAAAGCACATGAAAAAGTGCTCAATATCATTAATCACTAGGGAGACATAAATCAACACCAATTAGACACCACTTCACTCTCATTTAGTATGACTATTTTTAAAAGAAAAAAAACCAGAAAACAAGTGTTGGTGAGGGTGTGGAAAAGTTGGAACTCTCTTGCATTGCATGTTGAAATATAAAATAGTGTACATAGTACACTATGAAGGGAGACAGTATGACTATTCTTCAAACAAGTTAAAAATAGTTACAATAGGCTCTACCAATTCTATTTCTATATATCCCTAAGAATTGAAAGCAGAGACTTGAACAGATAATTATACACCCATGTTCATAGCAGCATTACTCACAATAACCACAAAGTAGAAGCAACCCCAGTATGCATCAAAAAATGAATGGAAAAACAGAATGTGACATAGCCATACAATGGAATATTATTTGATCTTTAAAAAGAAAATTCTGGCACATGCTGCAACATAGATGAACACTGATACTATACTAAGGAAATAAACCAATCATAGAAGGACAGATAACTGTATGAGTCTACCTGTCAGAGTAGCACAAATAGTCAAATTCACAGTCAGAAAGTGGGATATTAATGTTGAATGGCTATGCAGTCTGTTTGGGAGGATAGAAAGGTGGTAGAGATGATACCGCTAATGACTGTGCATCAGTGTGAATGTACTTGATGCCATAGAACTGTATAATTGCAGATGTTTAAAATGGCAAATTTTGTTATGTGTATTTTATCATGTATACATTCAAAAGAAGGTAGTCGCCCCCACCCTTTTGCTACTTCTACTTTGTTCAGCTCTCCTTCTGCATGGCTATACTATAGATGGCTGGGGCCCAAGTCCTACCTTTAGACATCAAAGTTATAGCCTGAACTCTAAGGGGTATCATTTACTTTTACTTATTTGTGCTACTGATGATTGACCCTATGTTAGGCAAGTGCCCTACCACGGAGCTACACCCCCCAGCATTTTGTATGCTTGTTTGCTTGTTTATTGTCCCACTAATTCACTGAAGTTGATCTCAAACTTTATTTTTCAATGCAAAGAAAACTGTACAATGGAAATATCTGAACTCAGGGGCTGGAGGTTTAGCTCAGTGGCATAAGAGCCTGCCTTGCAAGCAGGCAGTTGCGAGTTCAATCCCCGGTACCGATAAAAAGGAAAAAGACAAAAAAAAAAAAGAAAAGAAATATCTGAACTCAAACTTTTGATCTTCCTGCCTTACTCTCCTGAGTAGCTAGAATTACAAGTGTGCGCCAGTATGCCTAATTAGATTTTTTACATAAAAGACAAATACCATGATTTAATCACTATTCTTTCTGACTCTGTTATTTACAAACAAAACTAGTTCTAACTAATGCAGTAGGTTATAACTATATATCTTATATCAGGGACCCACCCAGAGCCATAAGGGTATGGTGAGAGAATAAAATAAGTAACAGAAAAAAAAAAGAATCAGAGACAAATTTAGTAATACATGATGAATGACTGGGAAGTTGATGTCCCAGATGGGCCAACAGAGTGAACTCCAAGATAGCCACTATTTATTGGGTGTATACAGTGCTAGGCAGGGCTAGTGAAGGATTCAAAATTGTTAGAAGACTCAATGGTATATGACTCATTGGATAAGTATAATCTTAGGATGATTTAAGTGGGTGGACTTATGTTAAGAATCATCTTGCCCTGGAATTTTTTTTTTTTTTAATTTAGTGGTTTTATGTCAGCAGAAGTCATGCTGGGCCTGGGAGGAGTAACAAGAAGCCAGTTCACCTTTCCTGTGAGCTGTTGTAAGCCATGTGGGGCCTAAGAAGAGAAATAAGCCAATTTGTCCTTCTTGTGAGTCATTGGAAGCTGTGCTGGGCCTGGGAAAAGTAATAAATCAATTCATCCTTTCTGAGGGCTGCCATAAGCCATGCAGGACCTGGGAGGAGAAAGAAGCCAATTTACTCTTCCCATGAGTTGGCAAAAGCCATGCTAGTTGGGCCTGGGAGGAGTAACAAGAAGCCAATACACCCTTCCCATGAGCCAACCAAATATGCAGCCTGGAAGACAAGAAATCCCCAACCTCCCAATAGCTGATTTGGAAGAACACAGGCTGAACTGATAGCAACTGAGGAACAAAAACAATTTAATGCTTATATTATTTGATTGACTTTGAAGGCCTAAGGCCAGTATTCTGAGCATCTGGCAAAAGGATAATAATGTGCAATATAGCAAATATGGGTGCTTTCCTTCTGTCTTGTTTTTAAAATCCAATATTGTTCTCACTGTTTTGTTCTATTTTATTGTTTTATTCAATGTTCTGTTTTGATTGATTTTATTATTCTATCTGATGGTATGTGTAGCAATTTTGAAAATAACAAGAGGCATTATGGTAGCCATTGTTGATTTCCTATTATTCTGTTTTGAACTCCTGTATCATATCCAGTGTTTTATATTGATTGGCCTTATTCTGGTTTCTTTTTTTGTTTTAATTTTGTTTCATTTTATTTTATTACATTTGATGGTATGGACAGCTGTTTTGAAGACATTATGGTAGTCATTGTTGATTTATTATCTTGTTTTGAAGTTGTGTATTACTACTTTTATTTTTTTGTTCTGATTAGCTTTGTTCTGTTAAAAATTCCGAGTATCACTCCTTCATGTATCAGCTTGAATATCTGTATAAAGAAAAACTTTTTCTCATCTATTCTTCAGTTGTCCTGAGACATAGTTTGTTTAAGATAAAGATAAACACCTGATCCTCTGTCCTTTTTTATCAGTTTTCAAAGTAATAAATCTAAATGTGACCAGTGATGTGTTTTATCCTGAATACCCCTGTGATTTTAAACATAGTTGATGTGTTCCAATGAAGAAATTAGTAACAATCAATAACTTTGTGTGGATGTGTGTATCCACATTGTTTATCAATGTAATTTGGGAAATAAAATCTTAGAATTGAGATTTCCAAGTTTAAAGTAAGTAAATAAATTTAGTGGTTTTAGTTTAAGTCTTAGTATGCTCATCCTTAAAGAGTTAATGGGAAATCTCAAATGAATGATACTGATAATCCTAAGTCTCTGTTTTATC